GGGCCCTCCCCACCACCAGCCGGGCCCTCCCCACCACCAGCCGGGCCCTCCCCACCACCAGCCGGGCCCTCCCCAGAGCTGTGAAGCCACGGTGAGGCTCTCTCTGTGTGTATGGGTCTCTATGAGTATGGGTCTCTATGAGTATGGGTCTCTATGAGTATGGGTGTCTGTGGGTCTCTATGAGTATGGGTCTCTGTGGGTCTCTATGAGTATCGGTCTCTATGAGTATGGGTTTCTATGAGTATGGGTCTCTGCGGGTCTCTATGAGTATGGTCTCTGTGAGTATGGGTCTCTATGAGTATGCGTCTCTGTGAATCTCTGTGGGTGTCTATGAGTATGGGTCTCTATGAGTATGGGTCTCTATGAGTATGGGTCTCTATGAGTATGGGTCTCTGTGAATCTCTGTGGGTGTCTATGAGTCTGTAGAAACTCGTGATGGGCAAGTCCACTCCTGGGGGTGGGGACCGACTGTGACCTCTGGCCGTAGTCGCGGGATGCTGACGTGGTGGTGCTGTGGTGCTGCTGCCTCTCTCTCCACAGAGCTCAGCCGGAGAAGAGGCTCCCATCATCATCATCATCATCCTCCTCATCGGAGGATGAGGAGGAGGAGAAGGAGGAGAAGGATGAAGAGAAGATGGAGGAGAAGGAGGAGAAGATGGAGGAGAAGGAGGAGGAGAAGATGGATGAGAAGGAGGAGGTGGAGGAGAAGGAGGAGGAGAAGATGGAGGAGAAGGAGGAGGTGGAGGAGAAGGAGGAGGAGAAGTTGGAGGAGAAGGAGAAGGAGGTGGTGGTGGTGGCCGTGGTGCAAGAGGTCGAGACGAAGGAGTTGGAGGAGGAGACAGAAGAGAACAAGGAGAAGATGGAGAAGATGGAGGAGGTGGAGATGTGGCAACAGCAGAAGAAGGAGGAGGAGGAGGAAGAGGAGAAGAAGAAGAAGAAGAGGAAGCGAGGGGGCTTGGCCCAACTGGGCAGGGCGCTCCGGTCGCTCTTCGGCCGCCTGCTGCTGTGTGGTGGACGGCCCACGGCAGAGTAGCGGCGTGGTGGTGGTGGTGGAGTCGGTGCCATCCACCACCACGAGCAGCACCACCACCGCAAGCACCACCCACCCACCCCATAACACCACACTCACCACACACCCAGCCACACACACCCAGCCCACACACACACACTCACCCCACACACACACACTCATCCCACACACACTCACCCCACACACACACTCACCACACTCACACCACACCAGACACTCACACACACCCAGCCACACACCACACAAGCCCCACACTCACCCCACACACCACATACATACACGCACCATACACTCGCCACACACACACTCACCACACACACACTCACCACACATACACTCACCCCACCCACACCGCACCACGCACCACACACACACCCAGCCACACACCACACACAATGATCCCACACACACACTTACCCTACATACACACTCACCCCACACACACACTCACCCCACACACACACACTCACCCCACACACAAACACTCACACCACACTCTCCGCACCAGACACCACACACACACTGATCCCACACACATACTCACCACACACATATTCACCACACACACGCACCACACACACACTCACCCCACACACTCCCGTGGGAAATAGCTGTGGCAGAAGACGAAAGAGTGGAAACCCAGACATGGACTGGACACAGCCACTCTGACTGCACTCACCACACACTCAGCCCACCACACGCTCACCACAAACTCAGCCCAGTAGCCTACCCAGGGCCCCCTTACCCCGGGACTCCAACCCATGCTGGTTTTTATCCGGTGGCAGTCCTCAAAGGAGAAGGATGAGGGAGGGAGTGACCTCGCCACACGGTTTCCAGGACATGGGGAGGGGGAAGGGAGGCCTGGTGCAGGCACTGGACGAGAAGCCTGCCTAGGCCCTGACACGTGAAGTTTGTTAAGAAAAAAAGTTATAATTTAATCATATATAGCTCTGTACATAATATCGTAGTTTTGAATGTAATTATTGTAAATATTATAATTATTGTAAGAATGTTTTGTTCTTCTAAGAGCGTTGTTATTGTGCATAAAGTCATCATATAGCTCTGTACATAATATCGTAGTTTTGAATGTTTTATTGTAAATATTATAATTATTGTAAGAATGTTTTGTTCTTCTAAGAGCGTTGTTATTGTGCATAATGTCATCATATAGCTCTGTACATAATATCGTAGTTTTGAATGTTTTATTGTAAATATAATTATTGTAAGAATGTTTTGTTCTTCTAAGAG